TTTAAATTTTTTGGGACCTGGGCGCTTGGAATAAATACAGTAAGACCATGTACTTTTCAAAGTGTAGAGAAAAGTCAGTAGAAGACCAAAAAAAATTTCTTGCTGTTCCGCTGACGGAATTCATTTTACAGGGCTCACTGACTTATTATTTTAAATTTTACGTTCTTATTGTTTCTTTAGGTTTATGATGTCAGCAAATTTCTCACACATCATCCAGGCGGCTCAGATGTCCTTTGCATGGCAGCAGGGAAAGAAGTTACTATCGTGTTTGAGACATATCATGCCTTCAGTGAAGTTGCCCCCAAGTAAGCTCTTGAAGTAGCTCTAGGCTCTCTTTACATACTTATTCGTTCCAGGCTGTTCTTGGACGTGTGTTCTCCTTAGTGCCCTTGCTTTAACAGTGCTGTGTCAGCGATACCTTTGAGTGAGGGGTCTCGGGTGTTTCTGCGATTTTTTTAGGCTTGTCATACACGAGTAGCTATGAAGTCAGCGTATTAGAAGACCCTTGTTATTGCCCGGCCGCACCTGAAAACGATAACTCTCCGTATTTCGAAGATTCCACGTTCAGTCTGTTTTCGAAGACGATTGTTTCCTTAAACCTCCTCAAAAGGGGCGAAAAGGGAAGACGCATAAAAAGGTATACCGTAAATGCTCGAATTAGCGCCCGGGCCGCTTATTTAATTTTCTAAGGCGAGAGGAGGGGGGGGGGGAGGCTTATTCGAAGTTTACGAGGAACTTAATAAAGTGAAGCAGCTATGTTCTCACATGGATATTTCTATTGAGGAAATGAGAAGCAAACCTGTGCGACTTTGAAAGGACGTTACTGTTTACACTATTATGAAATACTGTTCTTTTAATGAAATGTCACATTTCATTAAAAGAACAGTATAGATCGTATACGTCTCGTATATCGTACCGAGTACCGAAACTCATTTTTTCTTGGGGGGGATGGGGGCGCTTATTTGGAAGCTGGGCGCTAATTCGAGCATTTACGGTATGTGCATTCAAGCAAAAACGCTTTTAGTGTGGACAAGATAAAAACACCTCGGGCGAAAAAGCCTTTTCGACAAATCAAATTCCCGCCCATGGCGCTGGCACCGCAAGGTCATTGCGATGGGTTTTGATTCGCTTACTGGTCCGAGCACTTTTTCGCCGAGCAATCAGGGGTGAACATTTTCCCGGTCTAAGGGCGGGAACCATCAGGTCACATTTCGATTGGCTTGCTAGATAGGGAACATAAGTTGCCGGTTGACGAGAAGAATTACGACACCAGCCCTTAAGTTGAGAATGATGCTGACCAAAACCAACAGAATTGTGTTCTCTTGCTAGAGCCAAAGTAAATAATTAGTGGGCAATTATACCTTTCGTCCAGTAAGCCCAGCAGAACTTCAAACCTAGCACATGAAAAGCCTGCGAGAAGAGCAAGTTAAAATTCAAATTGTTTTGGGATCACTAAAAATGGTGTAAGTCAGATGGTATGTCCCCCATACCCTTGACTGACATGTTAAGGACAAAAATTCAACAATTATTGTGAGAGGGACCCAGCTTTGAGTCATTACAACGATCCATAGTATGGTAGGAAAGTTGAAGAACTGACACATTTAATTTTTCTTTCAACAGAACATTACAAAAGTACTATGTTGGTGATCTTGTTACCAATAAGTTTCCAACTTTCCCCGAACGTGGGTAAGCAGAACCGAGACAAAAATAAGGATGAAAGTACTTTTAGCAAATGTCAAATGAATGCTTGCAAAATTTTGAACTTCCTCATGGTTGACGAGACGAACTTCAATTCTGAAGGTCGGGGCTCACTTTGTTTTTTTGTTTTTCTAAGTAAAATGCTAAATTGAAGTTGCTTTATTGGACAAAAAACTTTTCTTCAAATTTATCTCCACCAAGGTGTACACCGTAATTTTTAGGGAGTTATTATAACTCCAAAAATGGAGTAAAAATTTTAGGTACAGGATAACCCCTTTTTTGGGGTTATTTTAACTCCTAATTTAACTCCGAATTTGGGGTCATTTTTACTCCTGAAAAAGAGTTCTTTTACTCCCAGTCTGGAGTTAAAATTACTCCGAAATGGGGTTACTTGTACTCCTTACATGGGTTGTTTTTACTCTTTTCGGAGTTAATTTAACTCTGAAAGTGGAGTAAAAATTTTAGGTACAGGATAACTCCTTTTTTGGGGTTATTTTAACTCCTCAATATCTGGGGTTACTTTTACTCCTGAAAAAGAGTTCTTTAAACTCCTTTTTGGAGTTAAAATAACTCCACGAAAAATAACTCCACTGTAAAGAGTTAAATTAGCCCCACTAGAGGAGTTATTATAACTCCCTGAAAATTACAGTGTGTAATGCTTGGATAGCCCTGTGTCCGAATGACTAACATCCCTCCACGATGCTTTGTGCGGTAGAAATCAGCTACGATCGCTCGAAATGCACTTAAGAATTTTTTCTTTGAAAGTAGCTATTTTTACAGTCAAATCAGTTACTGCACATCTCCCAAAAACGTAAACATAGAGTTATTCCCGGCCTTGTTTATAGTCATTTCCTGACATTGAAACACCGAAATAAGTCGGGCACCTTGCAACGGCCCAATCGATGCTTTACAGAGAGCAGCTGGATTATCTACTGACATTATTAGTTTAAAAACTGGATCCATTTTAAACCAGTTGTAGTTATAATGTTTAATTTTATTTGGAGATGCGTACAGCTCGGCAAGTTCTTTAGCGTTAAAATGCGTTTATTGCAGGGCCTTTTACAACACAATGAGAGAGAAGGTAAAGAATTATTTCAAGGAAACAAAACAGGTAAGCTGAGTATAAACATGAATCTAGAAATATTGAACAGCATATACAACCAGATCGACTTGTATTCTACAATTTACTAGGATAGAGTAATATCCAGAGCCTGGGTGTTCCATGAAGTATACGTACAAGAGCAATAATTGAGCCGAGAAAGTCGCCTTTATTTCGTCAACCCTGCCCTCCACTGCCTTTTTCATATCCAGTCTCCCTACCCACACAGTCAAGCAACCTGATTGCCTAAAACCACAGCGCTTGCGCGCATGCTCTGATTGTCTAACCATGAGCGAGTTGACTAGGCGAGTCAAAGTGGGTATATATTGCTCGCCTAGCCGGGTCACCCTTTACGTAAACGGTTCGCCAAGTTTTGTATGGAAACATAAAAGACGTTGGCTCCCCCAGGATCCGCTCGGATAGGTGGTTGACCTTTTTGCCCGAGCCAACTTTTCTCCAAATACATGGGGCTTTAGCTGAAGAGGGTGCCTATAGGGTTAGCAGTTAACTGATATTTGACCAAAAAAAAAACAGTATTCAACTAACAATTGGCCAAAAAATTAGTAGTTAACTGAGAAATGAAAAATTAACAGTTAAGTGACATTCTATTAATACAATCGTTGATGTTACCGAAAGCAACATAGTTTTGCAACAAGAAATACTATTTTCTGCCTTTTTTCTGTCCAGCTGATCACCCAGTGGCACATTAACTGATACTATGTGCGAAAAGCACCAAATTAGTCGTTAACTGAGAATTGAGTACTCCCATTAGCACCCTCACTGAAGTATTCTGTTTCAACAGGATCCCAAAAGCTCACCATGGATGTGGTTAAGATTCATTATTATGCCATCGATAGCGGTTACCATGTATCTTGCACAGGTTAGTTCATTTCCCAGTTCCCAAACGAGGCCTTCTTTTAACGTTGCAAAGTTTGCTTGTTTGTTTATTTTGAAAAGAGGTTTCCGTTCAAAGTCAAGAAGCTTTTATGAGATAGTGTAAGGTAAAGGCTCATACAGACGGTACAAAATCTGACGCAAAAATATATATTGTTCACAGCAAAATGAAGCGTAACGATGCGGTAGGGCTATATTTAAAAGGCCGTTAGTTTGTCCCAGAACATGCGCGCTCAAAGATACGTGTGAATCAAAAATAACCAAGTTAAAATTTGCTAAGGAAAAAAAAGAGTTAAAATGAAAACTCTAGCCTGAAAAAATACAGCCGTTTCTCCTTGCTCCCCGCCGCTAAAGACGTTTCGCTACGTCCCTAGCTGAGAGGAGCAAGGAGAAACCAAGTTGTATTCATAGGCTATTGAAACTCAAGCCATAGGCTTTTATCGAAAAAAAAAAAAACATCACTGTAGTCCTGCATCGAATGTTCCCGCTGGCTGTATTTTTTTTGTTGTTTTTGAAATTTTGGTCCGATCGGCATCACTGATGCATGCATGGTCGACAGCGACACTTTTTAACGTCAGTTTCACACGAAAAACCGTCGACACTTGTTTGTTCACAGTCCCAAAGAAAAAAATAATTACAAATGGACAAGACTTTTACCGGGGGGGAGGGTACTCCCGTATATAAACCATATAGGTATGGTCCGTACCATCGGGTAGGGTTTTTGCGCCGTTTTGGTCTGAAAACGGGTATACACTTTTCCCATTTTGGTCTAGAATCGGGTATGGTTTTCGATGGAACTATGGAGTGTATGAACGTATTTATCTTTTCACTTCCAAATGAGTAAGAAAGGAAGAGAAATATGCGTATTCGAAATGGATTTGGATAATTTTCTTGTTAGCGCTCTAATCTAAGTGATGATAACATAATTTCTGCCTAAAGGCGTAGGTCTGAAAACGAGTATTGGTTCTAGTAAGAGTTCTTGTTTGAAATCGGGTGTAGAAAACCACATTTTTTGGTCTGAAATCGGGTCAGGATTTGAAGAACCGGGCGGCACACCCTCACCAAGAATTCCCTGGAGTACCCCCCGGGGACTTTTAAAAGTAACTTTTATGAATTACTTCACTTTCTAAATTCATTGTAGTCTTCTTTTGTTCCATTCTGGTTCCATTCCTGTATAGATGTTCTGGTTGATCGACAATTTTTTTCTTTCCTGTGTTGCGACCTCACTTATGGGATGGTTCTCGGCTCAAACAGCAATGCACAATGTTCACGATGCAAGGTAAACTGCAAGTTAATCTTTTCTTCTATATTAAAAAAAAAAACAACAACAAAAACAGCGCCCACGGTTGACCCACTAGCCAAGTAACCCTCAATGATGAAGATACTCGTTTTAGATCAGACTAAATATTTTATGATGCCGAGTTTAGAAAACCTATAATATGTTGCATTTGTAAGACCTGGTAAAAAAAACTGTCACTTTTGGTAATTAGTGATTTTGACCACCAAGATAGAGGAAAAAGGCAAAGGAAAAAACAACACAAAGAAATAATCACACAGCCTGGTTGAAATCTGCTTTGTATTTTTGCTTATCTCGTGGGGTAGGGGAGGGGGTAGGCGGAGGTTTACACAAAGTATGCAGTCTATCTTTAGATGTGTCGCTCTTTACTATCGAATCTTATTGTTTTTCATCAGCCACTTTGCCGTGACAAGCAATCCCATTATGTGGAGAGTGGTTGGTCATATTCATGACTTCTTAATAGGAGCGTCTTACCACGTTTGGGTTTATCAGGTAAACTGTATTGCTCGCGATAGACGCACAAAATTGAGTGGCTTGTCAGCACAAGGGGTTGCTTTACACAAGACCAAAACAAGAACTAAGCACATATACCACCAACCTCCACTGCTTGACCATATTACGCATGCGCCAGCCTAAAATGATAAGATGCGCAGTAACAGTAAGCTTTCACTCGGTTTTGGGCTCATCAGCAGTGTCATGATCGGCAGGCCCCGTACAAGGCAAGGTGCAAAGATTTTGATTAATCGCATACTCACCGCACGCCATGTGGTAGCTGTTGGCTGAAAACTGCAAAGCGATTACATATATTACGCAACAACAATGCAAACATAAGCAAAAGCAGTGCGCACGCATCGACCACAGACGCTATAATACACTGTATTTCGTAAGTTACACATTTTATGAAATACCTGTTACCTCGCCAAAAGCTGAAACCTACCTATCACAACAATGAATATAATAAAATGTTGGTTAATCGAAAAATAAAAAGAATTGCTATTGTCGAATTTTAACAGTAGAATGTTTCAAACTTTTAAGTACGGTCAATATAGGAATTCAGCATTTCGAGGTTTTTATTTTTAGCACATCTTTGGTCATCACCCTTACACCAACATCGATGGTTTTGATCCTGATATCAGCACAGCCAAACATGTGAGTGGCTTCTTTTATTTTACAGTTAGTAAAGTAAGCGTCCGGGTGGTTTTATCAACAAAAATGGACACCTTCCAAAAACTTGCACTTGGTGTTAGTCCCTGCCCTTGTTGAGTCTTTTCTACAGGCCCTAATAGCGCTATTCACTGGATAAATCAAAATCTACAGGATATCCCTCTGGATAGCAATTTATCCGGTGGATAGCACTATTCACTGGATAAATCACAATCTACAGGATAGCCCTCTGGATAGCAATTTATCCGGTGGATAGCGCTATTCACTGGATAAATCACAATCTACAGGATATCCCTCCGGATAGAAATTTATCCGGTGGATAGCGCTATTCACTGGATAAATCACAATCTACAGGATATCCCTCTGGATAGCAATTTATCCGGTGGATAGCGCTATCCAACTTTTTGAACGACCGGCGCCTGGTGTACAACTCTCTTAGAAGGATACAAAGTGGCGGTCTTAGCGGTGTCAACCTTTAAAAGAATCGACCCCACTTTTTTTGCTTGGATCGATTGTGTAGTTCAGTGCTAGTATCTTAGAAATGTATCCATCATTAATAGTCTCTTTTATTTCCTCGTTATTTTTTTCACATTACGCAGTCCCTTAATGATTTTCTGCTTCTCGTAGAAGCCAGACATGAGACGGATTAAATGGGATCAAAATTGGCTTCCTCGATACTTTTACCAGCATATCTACATGCCACTGATTTACTGCTTGGTAAGTATATATTTCTTAGCCTGTTCTAGGCGCTCAGATTGTGGGGACCCTGCAAAGAGCGTGTGAGCAGGAAAATTAGTGAGAGGGTTAGGTAGGGGTTGAGAGCAAAGGAACCCTCTTTCATCTCTTTCTTCTAAATTTTTCCCGCTCTCTACTATCGTAACACCTTGAACAGGCTAAACTTTGTTAATGTCGCGTGCAACGAGTAAGAATCGGTATAAAGAGACAATAGTAGGGACTCACCTAGGAAGTGAACGTTCTATTTATTTGTTTGCATAACTCTTTTGCTAGACTTTCTTAGAAGGCATGGTCAGTTAGTTTTATGCCCTCAGTTTAATCAAGTTGATATTTTTCGTTCATTTTAAACTTACAGCTAGGTTTGAAAACCAGGTCTCAGGATATTGCAACTCTGTTCATTTACAAGAAAAATAGTAAGTTCAATTTAGATATTTGGTGACGGAGGTTTTAGAAAAACCACTGAGAATAACTGAAAATTAACGATCACAGTAATGAATGACGGTTTCGATGACTCCATGTCATCATTTTCAAGTTCGTGTAGCTCACGGAATTAAGAACTACACGAATTTGAAAGTGATGACCGACATGTAGTCATCGAAACGTCATTCATTGCTATCGCTAATTTTTCTTCTCAATTAGATATTTAAATGTGAAATACGTTTTTCGGCATTAAGCAGAGATTTTACACGCATTTATATTACATACGGTTGTGTATCGATTACATCGCACCCAACTTTACGGTCTTAGACCAACTTTGCAACTTAACAAATTTACCCACACCTCTCCCGTTACGTCATTTCAGTACCAAACATTTTCTCCACACCATAATTCTTAAAATATTTTGTTTGTATCACCCCATGTAAAGAGAATGTAGATATCGAAATCCTGGAAATTTCTGATAGTCGCGGAGTTTACCTGGTGGAATCCAGAATACTGGGCTTTGGAATCCTAAATACAGCCAATGGAATCCGGAATCCCACAGATGATTGAAATCCGGAATGGAATCCACAATTCCACTAATGGTTGGAATCCGGAATCCAAGATTCACTGACAAAGAATACGGAATCCACGGCCTGGGACGGTCTTAGATTCGCGGAATCCACGGCCTGGGACAGTCTTAGATTAGCGGAATTACGGCGTGGGACGGTCTTAGGTTTGCAGAACCACGGCGTGGGACGGTCTTAGCTTCCCTTCCTTGGGCAATTCAAAATTTTTCAATTTCGTGTCGAATAGGCCACTTCCGAGTTCCAAAAACCCTCACTTTCAAAATGAGGTAATCGCAGCTCTTGTTTTACGAACAATAGAGAAACTTTCTTTAATTCAACTATGAAAGAAAGAAAGAGAAATCTGCCAATTTGAAATGTGTTTAAAGAATTGTTTTGTTGGTATTCGAATATATCTAAGTAATGATCAGCCTATATATGCCAGGTCTGAAAACGAGTATCGATTTTAGAGGTCAGGTCTGAAGTTATAAATCGTTCTATCAAGGGAAATTAAAGATGCATGCTACTTCTGTTAGACGAATTAAGTTAAATACTTACCTTTTCAGAAGTGTATTTTATTAATTTTAAGATTTCCTTCAGGGATTTATCTTTACTTTTAGCGGTTAGTTTTACTGTTCTAGTTCGTTTTATTATAATTGATATTCCACTGGCACGCGCACTTTTGTTGGTCTGAAAAATTTACTGTGAGCACAAGGAAATTTTTACTCCAAATTGTACTCGGAATGATGTGATTACCTATACTTATCTGTCAATGCTCTTTCCAGGCACCGTAACTTTGAATCTGCCCTCTACCTCTCACATGGTGGTGTTTATTGCTGGCAAGCTCTTCTTTTTGTTTCATAAAATCTTGCTACCTGCGATGTGGCTCGGGGTTTGGAAAATGGTAAGCTGAGTCATTTTACTGACAGTATAACTCAGACTATACGGGTAGTAAAATAGTACTAACTAGTAATACTAATAGTATACTACCAGCTCCAAAAACCCTCAGGTTCAAAATGAGGTCAATTGCAAGTGCACAACCTTTCTTGCGGAAAGGAGTTTTATTTGCATGAGAATGAAAAATCGTTTCCTTATCAAAGGCTGAGAACTTAATATTTTTATACAGAGAACCGGGGGAACTCGCAAAAAACCTGTTCCAGGCTCCGAGATAGTCGGATCCGCTGAATTGAGAAAGCGCGAACTTGAGGGGTTATGGCCGCGCGATTGTGGCTGATCTGTAAGGTAGAGAGTCACATACTGGATAATTGTTGATACTATACCGGATAGCTAATAAACTGTAATGTCTTAACGCTGATGCGGATAACAAAAAAAGAAATGTTAGGGATTAGTAAGGTGAATATGAGCGGCAGTGAAAACGAAAAGTGTGCACTGGAACCCAAGCACCCGCGAGCTCTGATATTCTTTCCTTTGGAATACAAGCTGTTTCTAACTTTCTCTCGTTTCTCTTTTTTGGTTTAGATTGTCCTTTTCAGCATTTGCGAGATGGTAGGAAGCTACTGGATGGCCCTTACATTCCAGGCCTCACATGTTATAAGCGAGGTTTGTTACGTTGAAAAGTGATTACAATGGAGCTTATCTTGTGATGGGCCTTTACTGATATTAAGAGTTAGAAAACTGCATTAAATTTTGCTTAATATATTATGCAATATTCTGTGAAATCTAAGTGTACAGAAAGAGTTTCCGAGTTGCCCAAAAGTTGGGGAAAGGCTAGATCTGGAAAGGCAAAGTATTTTTAGCTACTCAAGGGCGGACGCGGAAACTAAAATGAATTGTATTTGGCTAATTTCTATTATTAAAAACCTCTATTAAGCGGACACCGGACTGAATAGTAGTATTGGATTAAATCCTTAAAATACGGACTGTAGTCGATTAATAAAGGTAAATCAATACATTTAGCTGTTAAAAAACTGTAGATAAGACCGATATCCGGCAGTATGATGATTGTCATCAGCAATCAAATTTCACCTAAAAGTCTTGTACAAAGTACAGCACAGCTTCCTTAACAAAATGGATCCGAGCTTTATTACCACAGTAAAGAGTAACAGTTGAAAAATTATCGTTAACAAACGTTGCGCAATTTTTAGAAACCTCTATTAAGCGGTCACTTTG